CTGTTGTCTTCTAAGGCTAATTCGTAAATTGCTTCCAAACAAATTTTTGATTAGAAATGAAAATTCGAGTCATACAAATGCCATATCAACCGGAATTGGCTATAAACACTGCGATTTGCTATTGTTTTGACTATAAACTATACTGAAATCATGGAGTTTCACACGACATTACCAATTCTGTTTTCCCTGCAGTTTTGCCCGAGAAGCTGTCTCTAAGACCGGAACAGTTGTTCCTGCGCTTCATGCAACCGGGCCGCGTTGAGGTGCTAACTCCACAGGGCAAGTCGGGCATTCGAGTCCGCTGGCAACGAATTGGGTCTGTTGACAACAGGACAACAGACAGGCCTGATAAAACAAGGCCAATAGAAGAGTCGAATGTAACGACAGACTTTGACGAGGTCCAGAACAGAACTTTCGGAAGACTTCCTGAGGGCATGAGTCAGGACAAGACGGATCTGATCATTTGGGGCGCTGCTGAAGAGCATTCCGGCGTGTATGAGGCTCTCGTCTATTCGGATGAGGATTACAGCGAAGAAGCCGGTGCCCCAACCACAGAACCAGTGGCGCGTTTACGCATCAAAATCCGGGTCAGTCCAATGTCCGAGGGTGGCGCAATGTGGCTGGAGCCGAGTAGGGCCGAAGAGCTGCCGGACTCTCGCGATGACGAGAGTGTGGATAAGAAGGGAGAGAAACCGGACACAGAAGTGACACCAGACGTCACAGACTCGCCAGACAAGACGAAGCCAATGGCTTGGGACTTTGTCGTGACTGGATTCACTCCAGATGCAAAGTATTGCCAAAATCCCACCTGGACCCTGGTCGACTACCGGCTCAATAGAACCAAGGATATAACGGATAAGGGTGAGTTGATTGATATTTCGCCTTCTACCATCGGCACAGTATTCTAGTACCGGTCGAATTTTCATGTTCAACACTTTTCGAGCATCTTACTTCACCAGAAGAAAGTGATATATTTATTCAACGCCATTCTGAATTGCATTCAATGCTTATTCAGTGACAGATGAAGTGTGATTATTAACGTAGCAAACATGTATTTGATATTAAAATTAACGGCTTTACTTTTACCTGATATTAGGAAGTTTAGAAATCATTGGTAAATAAAAGTTCGGTTATCTGGCATAATGGAAAATACTAGATTACCTCACAGTTAATTCTCCTATTCACAGTGATTTTGGTGAGTTCTAGTTTGCCACTGGCACTCGTGACCGTTTACTTATCGCTTTATGCAAACTAGGTTAACTAGATTTCCGATTCATTATTAATTTAGTCAGCGGCTGTCTGTAATTATTAGCATACTTCGAATAGATTGTAGTCTTATGAAGCCATAGTTATATTAAAGTATCTAAGATTGTTCAAATGTCGAGATGATGTGTTATCAGCACTAATTTACTTTACACTTGAGTCTAATTAGCG